AATTTTGTTTTTGCATTTATTTGTTTTTGAGAGACAGAGCACAGGCGGGGGAGGGGAGGGCGAGAGAGAGGGAGACACAGAACCAGAAGCAGGCTCAGGCTCAGGCCTGGCCGACCCAGAGCCGGCCAGGGGGCCCAAACCCACAAACCAGCTAGATGCTGACCTGAGCGAGTCGGACCCTCAACCCGACTAGGCCAGGCGCCCCTCACCCCATTCTTCACATTGTTGTGTTTGACTTGAAATCTAAGAGAGGTTAAGTAAATTGCCTATGACATGCATGTGATTAGTGGTAGGACCGTCATAGGAATCCCAACAGTCTTGCTGTATACCGCACACCTTCAATCTGATACTATTTGTTTATTTATTTATTTATTTATTTATTTATTTATTTATTTATTTTGGGGTCTTCGGTAAAAACCGGAAAATCCACAGACAAATTCTAAAAGAGCTGTAACACTTATCTGATACTTTTTAAAGGTCTTTCTGACGCCATGATTGAAATCATTGTTTTTATTTTCTTTGAGTATACCTCCCCAGTGAACATTCTCACCTGTTCCCATTCTGTTTGTACAGTAACTTTGCTGACAGGAGAGTAATTCCATTTATAGACCAGAAAATTAAGGCGGTTTTGATTACCATGAGGTTGAACGTCTTTGCGTGTTTCTTCACCTTTCAATTTAGCCTCTATAAATTGTTGATTCAGTCCTTTCCACTTTGTATTTCCTTTGGCTCAAGCTCTTTCTGTGTTGAAGATGTTAATAACTTTTCGTTTATGGTTTTTGTAAACCTTCTCAATGATTTCTAATCAGAGATTTACTTATGCAGTTTGAACTCATAAGCTCAATACTTCTAAAATGGAATATTTTTTATTTATCTTAGACTCCTCCCAAAGTTTTCCCCACTTTCTTCTAATTTACTCTTTTATTTAAAATATGTTAACTGTAATTTCCTGATTAGCTAAAATGCTCTCGAGGATCCATCAAGGTAAAATTTTCCTGACCCGTAGCTTGCGTGTTTAACACTAAGCATGCGCGGACATCCGTCTATCCGGTGGCTTAAGTCACCCCAGCCTGCTGCTGAGTGGGACTGCCTGGCTTGCATCTTGAAAGCCTGCATTTCCCCAGCAGTGTGACTTTTCCTCTCGATCCCTTCCCATTTGACAGGATAACCATAGCGATATGCAAGGGTGTTCAAAGAAGACCCA